GAAAAAAATCAATTTTTGTGATGAAGAGGACAGACTGCAGGATATATTATCGTTCGTATTTCCCACTCCATCCTCGGAAGAGGTTTGGTACATGGCTTCCCAGGGCCTTACAAGTAGTATCTTCCGTGGAGAGAGTACTTGTTCCTGTGCCTCGTAGACTCTGGAGTCGGGAGGCACCGCCCACTTGAGGGAGGCCCTCATCCTACCCCTACCATGCAAACGGAGCTTATCAGAATTGCTTACAGATGAAGACGATTTAGAGAATGTCAACACTTATTAAATTGCAGTCTTTCTAGCTCCCTCTAGTGGCCACTAAGAGATGCTACTTTTTTCACTTCAAGTTTGGAAAAGCAAAATGATACAACTGAGAGAAGCAGGAGTTTTTCATTAAAGCATCTTTAAAGAACCTATTCACATGCAAAACTGGTCCGTACAGTGTACACTGAATAATCTTTTTAGTGAATCCTTATTATCTATGAAAGAGCTGGCATCACAGAGATCTGGGCTGAGTTCACAGCTCGGCCTAATTGCATCAATTTTGCCATCTACAAAATAAAGCTAATACTACCTCTCATTATAAGAATTGCAGTAAATATATTTGTATTTTAGCTATGCCCCAAAGTACTAACACACACAATACAAAATAAGTTGTAGTTAAGTATTACTACTATCATTACCACCTCTACAGGGCACTTAATTAGGATCAGAGAGCAGTAATTACTAAACAGCTGCTGAATAAACTAGATGCCTGTGGGAGTGGGGTCTTGCTATGTGGTCCAGGCTGGCGTCACACAGGACTCCTCCTGCCTCAGCCTGCAGACTGCTGGAGTTACAGGCGTGTGCCACCTTGCTCAGCAAATGAGCTTCTTAAGTGCCAACGTACCCTACTCACATTCTTTTAGTTCTTACTGCTCTCAGGATCAAAATCCTTACCATGGACTCCAAGATTCCTTAGGGTCTGGCCCTCCTGTCTTCTGTGGTATAATCCTGAAGTTGAACACTCTCCCTCAAAGTGCCCCAACCTCTTTTCAAAGTGCAATTTTTCAAAAATACCACAATCCCTCACAGGGCATCTGGGAACAAGTGCCCACCTCACTCCGTGCTGCTTGGCTCTAACTCATTTTTCAGACCTCTGCTCACCATTTTTAAAGAAACGCCCTCCGACTGCCCAGGCTAAGTCCTGTCTCCCCAGCCTGTCTTTCTCCAAGTTCCTCAAGAGCCAGGAGCGCTCGATCAGCTCGCAGACCTGTCCCCAGAACCTAGCCACTCAGCACCACACCAGGGGCATTTCCAGATGCATGGAGTGGCTGCATGAGTTGAAATTAACACACACTGAAATCCAAAAACTCTAACAACCCTGACTGCTAGAGACGAAAGGTGATCAGGTAAGTGTAAACAACATTGTAAATACCACAACACTTTGCATTCCATCTAAGACTAGCTGGCATTATAAAGGCTGATGAAATAATGCAAAGGGAATGGCAAACATTTAAAAGGTAATGAAAAGAAATATCCTTCTATACACTCACAGAAAAGAAGAAGCATCTTTAAGAGCACAGGAACCTATCTATATATGATAAGGCTTCAACAACTCAAACTCAAACTTTAATAAATCTAGACTACATGGTTTACCTCTTATAACAAACAACCAAAAACTCATCTGAAAACTGAGTGTTTTCTAACTATTAGGGAGCTCATGCTTCAGGGAAGTCCTGAATGAATGAGGTAGCAAGCTCACCCTCACCAGCTAAAGATTTCTTGACTTCCGTGAGCAGCAGACTGCACTGTTTTAAACTGAGGCATCCCTACAACTGCCTCAAAGTGTGTGGCCTTTTTATGGATTAAACTTTCTGTAGTAAGCACTCCCAAGGATACAGTAAAACCGGGCCCCAAATAACTAACTCTCTCCTCTAGTCACATCAAGCCAGAAAACAAGGGAATGCTGGAAAGCCCAAGCAGAAAAAATTAACACGGTTCAGGATACCCCTTACACTAAAATCTTTTCACAGAATATTTAATAAATTTGTATGAAAGACACTTAGCAAATCCTACAACTCCAAAATAGCAATTATATTTTCCTCATAAGCTGCATGATGCACAGAAAATTCTAAAATATAATTCCATTCCTTTTTATGTTAAAAAGAAAATTATAGACTTGTGAGAATGTGGTATTAGTAATTGAACCCTGGGACATTCTACCACTGAGCTATATCTAAATCCCTTTTTATTCTTTACTTTGAGATAGTCTTGCTAACTTGCCCATGCTGGCCTGAAATTTGCAATCTGCCTGCCCCAACCTCCTGAGCTGTTGAAATTACAGGCATGTCTCACTACATCCAGGTAAGAAATGTGGCTGAAAATACAGCTCAACCAAGGTCAGGGGCAAATGCCTATAATCCCAGCACTTGAGAAGCTAGGGCAGAAGGATCAACATTAGTTCAGTTCCAGGCCAGTTTCAGCTACCAAGACCCTACCTCAAAACAAACATACAAACGCAAAAATACAGCTCAAGTTTATAACAGAATCAGACAGCTCTTAAAGATTGTCCTGTCCAGCTACAGTATTTAGTAAAGTTATGTTTCCAATCCCATGGAGAATATAAATCAATCTTACCAATTTTGCACAGTGGGGGCAGTACTGGGTACTGACCTTAGGCCCTGCACACTGAGCTACATCCTTGGCCTTATTTTATTATTTTTTTTATAACTTTGTGACAGACTCTCACTAAGTCACTAAACTGACCAGGCTAAACTTGAGCCTGCAATCCTCCTGCCTCAGCTTCCCAAAGTGCTAGGATTACAGCCATGCTCTACCACACCTAATCATCGCACTCTTTCCTCTGACTGCAGGTATCTGGTCCCTGGGGATAAGGCAACAGTCAGCAATGTAAGAAAGGCATAGTCCTCTTTACTGTCACAGGAAACATCAGCTGTCATTGGCTATAAAAGGAGGTAGCCAACAACTTCAGGGGAGCCTTCTCTTCTCCCAGTCTGAAAAAGAAATCTTTCAATCTTCATGACCATAGAAAGGATCTCTCATGAAACATCTAACTCTCCAGTCTCTACCAAGGTAGATGGTCTATAAGCTGACTCAGCATATTTCTTAAACTGTCATCTAAGAAGTAGGAAACAAGGGCCAACCAAATAGCTCAGTGGATTAAAATGCCTGCTTAGGCAGACACAGGGGCCCGAAGTTTGATCCCCAAGCCTGCTGTGCCGGCCCCACCCCTGGGGGGTGCTTAGAGGGCAATTAAGATTGGGTGTGGTGGC